AAAAAAAAAAAAAAAAAAAAAAAAAAAAAAAAAAAAAAAAACTTGTACACGTCTCACACACAGCTCCCCACAAACACTCAAAAACTCTCCCTTCCCACGCTCGTATAAATAGCCGACTAAGGACGACCCAAGAAGCCACTCATCCCCATTTCCCTCCTCAAAACACTTTTATATTCCATTCAATAAACCAATATCCCATCTTTATTTCATCTAAATTTCCTCTCTTTTCCTTAATTTCTCTCTCTAACCACAATATAATGGTGGTCTTGTCCAAACCCGAACACTTCCCTTTCCTTAAAAACTGCAATGCAAACAACTTACTCTACGAGATTCCTCTAATAGACCTGTCGAGGCCGGAGTCGATGACCGAAATCGTCAAAGCCTGCGAGGACTTTGGCTTCTTCAAAGTCATCAACCATGGCGTTCCAATGGATTTCATCAGGAGATTGGAATCCGAAGCCGTGGAATTCTTTTCCCTCCCGCTTTCTGAGAAAGAAAAGGCAGGGCCACCCAGCCCTTTTGGCTACGGAAACAAGCAGATTGGACGGAAAGGCGACATGGGTTGGGTCGAATACCTACTCTTAACCACCAACCCGGACTTCATTTCCCAAAAACTCTCGTCGATTTTCGGAGAATCCGAAAACCCAGATAAGCTTCGGTAATACTAAAACCGAAACTTTTTTTTTTTTACCACAATATTCTTTTCTATTATAATAAATTTAAATTTATGTTCAAACCTAGAGTTAGATTATAAAAAAGAAAACTGACGTAAAAGGACTCTGTTTTCTCTGTTTTCCTCTGTTTTCTCTAACTATGTTTTTTTTTTCTTCCTTTTTTGTCGGAATTTAACAGTGCTGCTTTGAACGAATACATATCGGCGGTGAGGAAAATGGCGTGTGAGATTCTGGAACTGATGGCAGATGGGTTGAAGATTCAGCCGAGGAATGTGTTCAGTAAGCTTCTGATGGACGAGGAGAGTGATTCTGTTGTGAGGTTGAATCATTACCCGCCATGTCCGGAATTGGAAAGAGTCGGGAGTGGGAATGGGAATAGAAAAGTGATTGGGTTTGGAGAGCACACAGACCCACAGATCATATCGGTGCTGAGATCCAACAACACGAGTGGACTCCAGATTTCATTGAGAGATGGTAGTTGGGTTTCAGTCCCACCTGACCAAGACTCTTTTTTCATCAATGTCGGCGACTCTCTTCAGGTAAACAAACTTACTACGTCTACATTAATATTGTTATATAGTTATAATTTCTCCAGGGATGAAAATGTAAGAAAAAAAACTTTTTCATTATTTTTAGAAATTTCCTCAAGGTTCCAAGTACTCTTTATTTTTTAGTTTTTATTTTTTTGGATTTCAAAAATCCCTGTTCCCATGGATAAGATGTGATTCTATTGGTATATGTCACTGTTATGATAAACTCCCGCATTTTTTTTCCCAGGAAAAAAAAAAAAAAGCTCTCACATTTTATAGTTCTCCGTACATACAATACCATGAAAAGGGAACTACAAAGCTTATGGTGTTACCAAAATCGTGGTGTTTATTTGTCCGTGAGTTATATGCGTTTTTGTTTCTCTGTGTTTATTATCAGAAAAAAAAAAAGTTAATAATATTTTTCAAAAATTAAAAAATACCCTATGCTTTTTTTGTTTTTGTTTTTGTTTTCTTAATAGATACTCGTTAGATTATGGGACACGGCAAAAAATAATAATTTGTCTGATGTACTATATGTCTTTCTTTTAGCTATTGTTGTGTAGGTCAAAGTAAGAAAGGGTTGCTTTCCATACCCATTTCTCTATTTCCTTTTTCATATTCTACTTTTCTTAATTCACTGTGGGATTTTTTAATTTTTTTTTGTCCATCAAATTTTTTTTAATGGTATTCTTGGTTTTATGGATTGCAGGTGATGACAAACCGCAGGTTCCAAAGTGTAAGGCACAGGGTTATAGCGAACAGCTTGAAATCTAGAGTGTCAATGATTTATTTTGGGGGACCACCATTGTGCGAGAAAATAGCTCCATTGCCTTGTCTCATGGATGGAGAGGAAAGCTTTTACAAAGAATTCACTTGGTTTGAGTTTAAAAAATCGGTTTTCAACTCAAATTTGGCCGATAATAGGCTTGGACACTATGAGAAGTTTGCAGCCTCATAACGCAGCTACATAAATTAGAAAAATGCCTTAATTAAATACGTCATAAAAAAATAGTATAATCAAATTTCCTATAGATGGAGTAATTTGTGGTTTTTTTTTTTTTTTTTTTTTTTTTTTTTTTTTTTTTCCCCTTTTTTTTTTTTTTTTTATTTTTTTTTTTTTTTTTTTTTTTTTTTTTTTTTTTTTTGTCTACCTATTTTCTTCTCTCTATGAAAAACTTGTGTAAAGTACCCTGTTGGTTAGAACATATATAGAAGAGTTGTGTACAACAACTTTAATGAATGTCAATAGCAAAATAGCTTATAATTATGAGTCTCAAATTTATTTTACACGTGTCATTGAATTACCAATGGACCACACTAAGGCAAATTGGTTCAAAGTGTTCGACCATACGAAATATCCAATTCTGATTTTTTTCCCCCCTTCCTGATAAACACCATTTAAAGGTGAAATTCTATTCTCCAATAAATGTAGAATATAAATAAGAAAATGAATAAATGTTCAAGTCTATTAAAACAATGATTTAAGTACTTGAGGTCCTTTTCAGCGTTAGTGTACGACCAAATACATTAAATGGAGAAGCATCCAGAGATATATATGTCTCGTTAGGATTCTTGAAGAAATAATTAAAAAAAAATGCCATGTGGGACATTGAATTATTTACTCTCTTCGAATTAAATTAAGTTATCAAATATTATTCAAGTCAACCAATTATTAAGGGATAAGATTCCTTGTCTTTCTATTTTATTAATTTTATTTATTTTACATAATTGAGGCTATACTATATAAGCGTAGCAGAATTGACATCTTACTCTTTTATTGAAAAAAAAAA